AAATATATATGTATGTACAGTATATACTGGGCAGGAACATGATCCATGTTTAATGAATACATTTACTCAGAATACCTTTCTGTGAGCCCTATACGATGAAATAACGCCACTTCAAAAAGTTTGCTTTCGTGATTAACCACTGTATCCAAAAGAAGAGACATGACTCAGCTGTCGGTGTAACGTGGTTGATATTTCTGCATATGTTTGAATGTTTTAGAACCATTCTATCGCTGTATCTGCAAAGTCTTCCAACGCACCCATCATTTAGTTCATCTCCACCGCTACTCCACTGTTTACCTGCGGGGTGCGCACTTGCGAATCACTTCCGGGGGATTCTTGTGTTTCAAATGGAAATCGCAAAAAGTAATTTAGACGATCATTATTGGTTTACTGCATTTTCGTTTTAATTAGATCCACAGAAAACCAAAAACAAACCGATATTTCAATTTTGCATTAAATTCAAATATTGAGAATCAAAAACATCCCTCGTTATTCGTTTTTTCAATGTTGGTTTTATTTAGAAAATCAAAAGAACGAATGATACACGGATTGACATGTAATACCACTCACATTGTTCAGGAAGCACCCTCAGGCCCAACATAAATGTAATCTGATTCTAATGTCCACCTATCACTTTCAATTTGTTTGAATTGTTCTCTGTACATTAAGTCTTGGTCTCTGTCATAGAATAATGTCAAGTGGGCAGGGTCCAGTGGGAGGTGGTAGGAGGCCAAAGAATGTATCCAGGGTTTCCACTTGAAGAAGACAGACTGCACACCATTATTGTCCGTGGACTTGTTTTCTGGGTCCAGTCTCACCCAGTATATGTCTGCATACTGGTCTGGCATCTCTTCGCTCAGAAGCCAGCAGGAGTCCATCGATACACCGGTCACACATCTGTAGATTTGTCCCCCTGGAAAAGTCACTTGTAGACCATCCGGTCCACATAGAATAGACGCATTGGTTTTAGTCAATAAGTCTCTTCCCAGCAGGTTGACAGGTGTTTTAGGAGCATTTACAAAAGAATGCCACAGTGTCTGTGCTCCAATTTGTGTCTTTAAACGTTTAGTGAGTGGCAGTACCTCAGGTGTCCCAGAAAATCCAACCAGGGTGATGTGCTCCTCAGAGAGCAGGACAGGGCGTATCTTTGTATTGATGGTAGAGTAGGTGGCGCCAGTGTCCACCAGGGCCATCAGGTTGTCATCCTCCACCCTTATGGGAAGCATAGGCTCTGCAAGCACCTTGTCCCCTGGATTTCCTAGGCAGCCCTAGTAAGATTGTTCATGTTCATACTCGCCCAAGTAGTTCCCCTGCTGGTAATATTGTCCATCTCTCGGGGCCAGGTTGTCATTCGGAGCCGTCCATGGGGAGGGAGGGCCTGCGCGCTCTGGTCTGGGTCCCATGCCTCTCTGGGGGCCCCTCCCACGCACCATCTCAGGCGCTCCATGGTAGTAGGAGGCCTCTCCTTCAAAGGGGCAGTCCTTCGCCCAGTGACCGTGCCTGTAACAGAGGTGACACACATCCCTGCCCCCTTTCCAGCTTCCACCCCTTCTTCCTCCCTGGCCCCCACGCCCACCACCTCTGGCCCCTCCCCTTGTCCAGTCCTGTCGTGGTTGAGTCGCAGGTCCAGCAGGAATGTTAGCCATCTGATTTCTAGTTTCCTTTTTATTTTGGGTGGCTTTATTTCTAGCTTCACTTAGCTGTAACTTCAAAAGTTGACAAGTCATATCTTCAACACTCTTTCTCTCTTTAGTTTTATTTTCAACATATTGCTTAATGTGAAAGATTAAATTTGTCTTCCACTGTGCTGAATCTGGGTTAATATTATCCGGGTTTTCCTCAATTTTTGAGCGTATTGTTTCTGGTAAACCATTCAAAATAGCTGCTCTAAAAGGCATGACTTCACTGACCTTGTGAGGGTGTCTTCCTACAGTGTCCATCCACTTGGCCACACTCTTGTCATAAAATACAAGTGGGTCCTCAGACTCCAGCCAAGTTAACTCACGAGGGGCAGAAGACAGCGGGGTTGGAAAGTTCTCCCTCAGTGCTTCATTCCAGGCATTTGCATACTGGCCAAATCTGGAAGAATCACAAACATCAGCAGTACCAGCTTGTCTTCCAATAGCATCTCTCTCCCATGGTTTCTGCATGCTGCCAACACTGCCCGGACGTCACCCATCGCCACATCCTGACCTGTAAACCATGTATTGAGACTGGAAATCCAGTTTCCAGCTCCCTGGCACAATGGAGGCATTTTGTCTTTTATAGTCTGCATGTCACTTACAGAAAAAGGATGGTACACCCCAGCTGCGCCTCGTCCTGGTCTCAGAGGGAACATGGATTTTGTCTGAGACCTGGTTCTGCTTGCAACTGGTCTATTTCCCTCAGGCTCCTGGTCTCTGTCATCACTACTATCGTCAGAAGAGAATTTAGCTCCTTTTTTAGCCTGTTTAGCTTTAATTGCTGGTGGGGCCATGGCACCGTCTCCCTTTTCATTTTCACTGTCCGTCCTAGTCATGGCTCTGCGTGCAGCTTCATTAATTAATTTTGCATTCTCCTGTCTAGCGGTCTCGTAATCATGGGTCCTACTTGGGGTTTCTTCTCTCTCAACTCTGTCTGTGGTGCATTCAAAGGTCGGTTTCCTAGCTCTAATATTTCTGAGAGAGTGCAGGAGGAGCTCCTGCACCTCTTGAATAGATGGGGGTTGGTGAGGGGTGTGTGGGAGCTGTGGCGGGAGGCTGACAGCTGGATTTTGACTCGGATCTCTATTGTCCCCCACAGACTCCTGTTCTGTCCCTTCGTCAAATTCACTGTCTACAAAGTCATTGTCCCATCTCTTTCCTACCGCCACTTCTCCTGAAAATTTATATTGTGGCAGTATTAGATTTGGCTTACCTGGTTCTAAACCCAGAGAGTACTTTGGTGGAGCCGTGGGTAGGGATGGGTATATATTACTCACCGGCATTGCTCCGTTTTCTGTTTCCTTGTCTTTACTTACCATAGGTAATTTTGCCAACGCCGTGGCAGCCAGAGCAAAGTTGTGTACCTTGGTCCTCAGTTTCTCAGCCTTTTTTAGTTCCTTCTTAATTTTTCTACGCTCATTCCAACTCTCTCCCTGCTTTCCCTCAAGCTCTAGTTTATCCTGTTTTAAATTATTTTCCTCTTCCCGCAATATCTTAGCTAATGCGGACGTTGTCATATACTCAGGTATGACCCTTTTGTTCTGTATTTTTTCCCATGCTTTCACAGCCTTTCGTTTTGCCTTGTTCCTATGTTCTTTATCCAGACCACTCAAAATCTGAGCCTCTATTTCTCTATAGAGCTGCTCGATTTGAATGCCTGTCTCCATTTTTCGGGGGGGCCCAAAATTCCCCCAGGCTCCAATGGGTTAAACCTAACTTGTGTGTTGATGCGTCCGTCAACCACGCTAGTCACAGCGGGCTTTCCTGTTTCTGGCAAGGCTTCTCAAAAAATCTTTACTTTTAATATATTCTCGCAGGGTTCTAACTACTTAGACTCCTATTTTATTTAATTTTAACGTATTTTCGCAAGGCTCTCACTACTTTTTAGGCTTTTACTATTTTTACTTTTTGAATTAGCTCCTCCGTGGACAAAACTTCTCTCCCCTTGATTTGTTTAGTCCAATATGCAGATTTTTAATTAGTCAAAAGGTATCTGCTTACCTTCAGTTCAGCGGCCGCTTGAGGAGAGACGCAGAGTCCAGGGAGAGGTTGAAAGTCATCAAGGGATCACGTCGGGGTCACCAATTATTGTATTAAAAAATGACGTGTTCAAAATCCCTTATAAAGATGACCATGATTCAGAAAGTTAAATTCAAAAAGGTTTATTTCCCTAATACAAAAAGAATCTAAAACAGCTGTTCGGACCAAAAGTAACTATCCCTTATTCTCTATATAAAGTATAAAAGTATAAACTTGGGTGGGCGCTCCACACCAAAGTCACACACTGTCCCTGGTCCGGTAAAAAACTAACTAAACACATTCAAGCTACTCACTATAAGTCAAGGTGCAGGAAGAAGGGGGCGTGTCGTATCAGGCAGGTCTTGGGTCCAGGGTCCGGCCTCTTCCATCATGTCCCCTCTGTCTTGCCGGACCTGAACAGAAATCATTCACGCACTACCCCTCCCTAATTCTATAGAAATATTACTTCCTTGAGATAAGGCCGGAGGCTCTCTGGGTCCCCCTCCTTCTTCAAACAACTGGAAGGATTAGCAGAATCCCCCCAGATTACCTATCATTAACTCACCCATGCACTTTGGACAAAAATGGGACCAGGGGAGAAGAGCAATACAAGGTCTTTTTTTTTTGCTTGGAAAAATACAGAGTTCAATTCCGGGTCAATCAAATTCACATCGGCTTTTAGTCTATATTTAATACAACACTATCCAAGTGCAAGTCAGTCTGCTTTGGAGCCATGGAGTAACAGGACCTCTCTGGGCTCTGCCCAGGCAACAAAGGGGCCTTGGGCCTCCAAGATGGGTTCAAACCCCAGCTCCACGTTTGAGAGGACTTCCACAACCCTTCAATGGCCTCCAGCTTCAACCTGAAGAAGCTGCTAAACTGCGGATCCTAGACTGTGGATCGTGGGAGGACTTGGGCTCTGTCCCAATTCCAACACTTGCCTCTGAGAACACTCGCTGAGTTCCCTCCACAGTAAAGTGCCTTCAGTGAGGGAAGTGCAAAGTGAGGATTTTCCCCTAAGAAATGGGACACCACTAGTATGCAAATTGGCGCAGCGAACGTGTTCTTACGTCACGTGCGACATCAACGTGCCTGATTTCACCCCTGTCCAGTAGACGGCAGTAATACACATTGCCTGTAAACTGCAATAAAACCACATACAATAAGTACTATTTTCATTCACGTGTGAAAATGCCGACCGCAGCGGAGCTCCTGCCTGTTGTGTGTGCTATGTTGATTTATGTACGTTTGAGGAATCAACGGAGAAGAAACATACGAAACAGAAGACGCGTTCGCCGTATGCTTGCAATAGCTGGGATGTTTCAGGTATGTCTTTTTTTTTAAATGTTGGAACTTTGCTCAAGTCAGCTAGCAACTAGCTTAGCATTGTGTCTAAGAAGTTTGCATGTTTTGCATTTGATTAAACATGATGCATTACTGTTTTCGCTATGTCAATCAATCATTTATGTCACATAAGCAGAACGTAAACAAGCAACACTTCAGACCATTGTTTACTGAAAGCTTGAATCAGAGTCAGTATATTGAGAACAATTTAAATGGCTGAAGCTACCTGATCATGAAGGAGATCACACAGGTGGTGTTGATAAAAATAATTATTATAATAATTGAGTTTATTAAAATCTCTTAGCATCTATCAATAGACTGTATAAACATGTCTTATGTACACTGAATAAAATAAACTTTGTGTAGCTAAAAAAAACTACACAAAGCACTGCAGTGCTGATGAATAATAAATGACTGTTTACATTCAGGTGGTTGATTGATATAGTCACATTGCAGGGGTTGTAAACACTGAGGTTATTGCACATATTAATATCTTTATTTTTTTCCAGAGTGACCGCCCAGTGACATACTGCAGATTTAACACGGATGTGCCTGTCCTACGCCTGTGGTTAGATGTCGAGTTGGAGACCAGACAGGATTTCAGATTATCGCGGCAGGCCATGCATTCCCTACAGCGTCTAATGAAGAGAGAGCAGAACCATGGTTGGGGAAATGAATATGAAGTCCTCGTCTACGTCTACTGGCTTGCCCATGGTCTTTCCTACCGTGTGGTGTCCAGAGTTTTCAGTATTCCCAAATCAACCATTCACAGGATTGTTCACAGAGTGGCACAGTTATTTTGGGACAATCTAAATAGAGCCATCAGTTTTCCAAAACCTGCAGACATCGACACTGTGGGTAATGGATTTGCCCAGCTGGCGGGGACACCAGTCCTAAACAAAGCTGTTGGTGCCATAGACGGTTGTCATGTTCGAATCAAGCCTCCATCGCTTCATCGTCTGGACTACTTAAATTACAAAGGGTTTTATTCCATTAGCATGCAAGCCCTCTGTGACCATACTGGAAAGTTCATGGATATTTTCGTGGGCTATCCAGGTTCCGTACACGACACCCGCATTTTAAAAAACAGTTCATTCTACGTTGCTAGAAGGTATCCACCTAATGGATACTTCATCCTAGGAGATGGTGGATATCCTTGTTTGGATGAACCCATCTCTCTTATGACTCCTTACAGAGAACCTGTGAATTGCCGGGTGCAAAGAAAATTTAACTACCACCACTCAAAGGCCCGTTCTATTGTGGAGAGAGCATTCGGCATGATGAAGACTCGCTGGAGGTCAACTCTGTTCAGGGCCTTGGAGGTTAAACCTACATTTGCACCGCAGGTGATTGCATCATGTGCCTTCTTGCACAATGTCTGCCTGGACAATGGCGATGTCCTGGAACCAGACAATGATGTGGCACAGGACATCCTGGACCTGGGACCTCCTCTCCAAGAAGCTCCTCATGCACACGAGAGACCAGGAAATGCAACAAGGGACAGGCTTGCTGCGTTGGTCAATGCAGAAGGCCCTCAATAGACTATTCTGTTTAAAATTGTAAATAGTTAACATGCACATGTTCTTGTGCTATTTTTAAGTTTGTACTTATGGTTCATTTTATATATTGTCATTTCCCAGGATCCATTACTTCCTGGTCAGTTGGAAATAATTATTTGAAACTCTATTAAACTTATTTCTAGAACATGTTGGTGATAGTTTCTTTTATGATCTACACACTGTATTTGGATGATTGGTGAAAATGATTGATAGTCACATACTTTTATAAAAGTTGTATAATAAAGAACTCTGAACATAAACAGAATAAAAACAAGTCAACAATTGAAGTGATGGTCAAAATAACATGGCAATGAACATAAACAGCCTGGATATTAAAAGAAAAAACTGTCTATTTGTCAGGCATTTTGTCCACAAATCTTTCAAAAAGGTTTATAAACCTTTCAGTTTTGTCTTCGGATTCCGTATGCCTTCTCTGTTCATTAACGGATTCGGTTTTGAGGAAGTCCAGAATTTGCTGGTTAGCATTCTTCTTCCTCTTCCTTGGCGATGGGTTTGGCGTGGTAGACAGGGTGGTGGATGGAGTAGCTGGAATGATGGAAGAGGCTGTGGTGGATGGTGTAGTTGGATTGGTCGAAGAGGTTGTGGTTGGAGTGGGAGGATTGTTTGAAGAGGCTGTGGTTGGACTGACAGGCGGTGTAGTGGGAGGATTGGTTGAAGAGGCTGGGGCAGACTGAGGAAGGTCTTCTCTGGGGGTTTCAGGCTGTGGTGTGACAATGGCCTGTTCGGGACAAAAATAATTGAGGTCTTATTTCAAAGTTATTGTAAAATGTTATAATTGCCAATTTCTGAATTAGCTGGGTAGCCATGGTTTCCAAGTGCATTTTAATAACATGGACGGTAGAACAATTTCCTGCTAAAGCTGCCTGGTTTTGCATTAAAGCACTGCTAATAAGGTGAATGGCAGTAAAGAAAAGTAATATACAGCACAAATTAGAGCTTTGATGGTGATGTAAGTTTTTGTGAGGTGTATTCCTTTCTTTTTTCTACCCATCACATTTTTTACAGCACTTTAATGTTCAAACTGAAAAATTAAACTGGAAACCATGGCAACCCAGCTAATTCAGAAAATGGCAATTCCTACTCCAGTCACCTCACCATTAACAGGGCTGTGGGGTCCTCCTGAGCTTGTCTGAAGGAAGACACAACAACTGGGGGAGCAACTGCTGGCCTCCCCCCCAAAAAAGCATGCATCTCTTCATAAAATGCCCAATTTGACGCAGTTGTTTCTCCGCCGTCTGTGCCAGTGCCGTATTTCCATCTCTCAGTGCCTACAAAGAAAGAGACGTGTGAGTGTGTGACAGAGGGAGCGAAATGAAAAGTTTCGCTCCCTCTGAAAAGTAGATTACGGGATAAAAGATATAAAACAGATTATATATATATATATATATATATATATATATATATATATACACACACAAATAATAACCTTATAACGCTTCTTTAAATTTTCCCACTTCTTGCTGGCCTGCTTGTGGGTGATTACACCCTCCAGGCCCAGCTCTTTCACTGCTTGCCTGTAAGCATACAGTGAATATCAATATGGGCATGTACCTTGGGTCAATAGTATTATCAGATATGATTTGTACAATCTGGTCACTCACACCCACAAGCTTTTGGTGGTGAATTTTGTCTTTAAATATTTGCCATCATTTGCTACCCTAAAGCGGATGAGGCCAAAGGTCTTCTCTGTAGGCCCTGAAAAGATATAAAAAAATTCCATCAGATTCCATATTTTTTCCCCCTCCAATGCTAAATTTATAGACCCGATATGTGTTGTGCGATATGGCATGTGGCAAACACAATCTACGGCGTTCTTTCATACTTTGTAAGTTTTCGCTTATGAATCGTAACGTGTAACTGTAATATCTTTAGTATTAAATGAATTTGGGATAGAAATAAATTCCCTGATCCAGATTATAGATAATGTTTTAGCACTGGTTCGCGGCCATATGGAATTGTATTATTTTCAAAGACCTTCAGTGATCAAGACAGCACTCCTTATAGTTTACAGTCATGAAATCTTGAGATTGGTTTCAATATTTCCCTTTCAGAGAAGTAGTGGGCTTACTATTTTTCTCAGTGGAAATGAGGTTCCAGGATTTATCGTTTAGAAACAGAGAGATGAAATGAATGGGCTCAGAACATGTCAGATCGTCTCAACAACATACAACAGGCTCTTCAACACTTCTGATCCACTTTTGTGGATTATTTTCTCTCAAGAACTGCCTTCATCCTCATCATTAGCGATGTGTTTTTTTCCCGCGGCTCTCCCGCGACTTCTCCCGCGTTTCCCGTGTTCCCCGTGGATGTCTACCCCCACTACTTTCTCCCACATGCCCGGTGTTATGATGCCCCTGTCCCCTGTCCCTATCACATATAATTTGACAATTATGTTGGCGTTCACAGAATGCTTCTACCGCGGCCACACGGAGGACAAGCAGCCGCTGCACAGGGGCTGATTGTGGACTATATGGAGCGCGGTCTCCCCGTCACCAATAATGTCCGTGTCTGCTTCACTGGACACCTGCGTGTCTTCCTCCTCTGAATCTGAGTGAGCCAGTACCAGACCAAGTACTTCTCTGGTACTGAAGACCTCGTGAGTAAAATAAAAAACACTCTCTCCCTCTGCTCTGCTCTCGCTCCTCTCTGCTCTACCGCTGCTGCTTCGCCTCCGCGCTGCTGCGCCGCAGGTGTTTTACGAACTCAATTTACTCAAAAACTTTCAATATAAACACACCCACAAATGCTGCTTATATTACAGGCACACATGTCCACTAACCCCTGGTGAAAAGTATTAACAAGATTCTGCACCACATTTTTACGTACAGCCTGTTTAAGTGAGCAATGTTGCTTGTCGCAATATTGCGACTTTGGCGCTTAAAGGGTTAACAGTCCATTGCATATACATCGATTTAACACATTCCAACTGATTTAAAAAATTTACAGGCGTATTTGCTAATTTATACTTACATTTGTAAATTTCGCTTCCACTGGTTGCCGCCATCTTTTTTGCCGCTGGCTGAGCTTGCAAGGCATTATGGGATACTCCCTTGCTGCTATCCGGCCGCAAGTCTGCTCCTGTGCTGACTCGCTGCGGAGGGGCCTTTTCAAGGGGAGATAGGCACTTCCTCTATGCTCCCTAAGTATTGGGACACCCTTCCCCCTCGCGGGAACGCGCAAAATGAAGGGGAAGGGCTCAAAGCGAGGGCAAGTGTTGGAATTGGGACAGGGCCTTGGTTCAGCCACATGATACAGCCTCATGGTCCAGGCCCCCGTGAACAAGGACTGGCCTTCATCCCTCACCATCAAGACCCAACAAGGACCGCCATCGACCAAAGGCCATTCTGGTTGTATGATCTGCTTACTACTCACAGTTGTTGGCTTAATCAAAATCTACAATTCAAACTAAGAACACTTCTCTTACCAAGGCTGCACACATGCAAGCCCAGGCCTACCAATCCATCTAGAAGGACAAAGGCCCACACATTAGCCTCATCCCACCTTAGCCTAGCATGTTAACAATGTGTCCTTTCAATCAACGTTTCCTTCATGTTATTCTTGACAATCTGCATATTTCATATCTAATCTGTATTGTATATACTTCATTAAATCTACAAAACCATCTCTGTCTGAATGTGATATTTCTACTGCTTTAACTCCAGAAATTGGGTCACTGATTTGTAAAATAATTCATTACCTTCAGATTCTATTGAAGATAATTGGACTAACTAACTAATTAAATAATTAATTACTCATATGATTACAGGATCAATAAATGAGCCAATTAATAGATAACGTGACGTCATACGCGCGTTATCAGTTGTGATTGATTCTACCCTTTAATCCATTTCTGGGTCAGGGGGGGGGCAATCAGAGATGCCACCCAAGTCTCATAGCACCAGCCCCTCACTGACCCTCTGCAGGTGGTGAGTGAGTCCACAGGAGGACGGCTGCTCTCTGAGTGTGAGCATAGCCTTGATCTTTCAGTGGGGGCTTTGGCCAAAGTGGGGTTAAGTGTCTTGCCCAAGGACACAACGACAGCAGTCATCAGCGGGAGTCGGTGGAGAAGGTGCACCGCCTTAAGGCCAATGCTCTACCAACTGAGCTACTGTCGCCCCTGATTCACTGGTGCCCCGAAATAAAGGGCACCAGTCACTCAAATTGTCAAATTATATGTGATAGCGACTTCGCTCACCCTACATGTATTCTAATTTAAATGAATGTCATACTGAAAAGACAGAGTATTTTGCAGTCTTTGTGATGTGCAAATTGCAAATCATAGAAAAAATGATAAAGAACAATTAACAGCTACGCCTGCCAGTGATCCGATACCCCGCAGGAATAATCAGATGTTAAAACTCAAAAGCTCCTTACCATGCATGGCGGGTTCCATCCCAAATCCAGCACCCTGAGACTGTACGTAAGCCGTAAAGAAGGAGGCCGAGGACTAGTGAGTGTGAGAGCCACTGTCCAGGACGAAACATCCAAACTCCATAACTACATTGTCACATGGCGCCGTAAAGATGGCACCGTGGCAAGAGCTCTGGTGTGTGTCGTCTTCTCTGTCTGGTGCACACTGGGGTAGTCTTGCACAGTTTTTCCAATATTGTTTTACTGCAAATGGCAAATAAATGAATCTGAATCTGAATCATGGAGAAGGGAAACCGATGACGTACTCACGTACCGAATGCTAATGAACCAACCTGACATCGTGACAAAGGAAGCCTTGGGGGTGGGGCCAAGGGCTCAGAGAGGAGCTGGAGAGGGCCTGGAGGGTAAAGGTCACAGTAGTCGTGGTGATTGGTGCACTCAGGGCAGTGACCCCAAAGCTGGAGGAGTGGTTACAGGGGATCCCTGGAACAACCTCAAAAATCTCGGCCCGGAAATGTTCAGTGCTAGGAACTGTGCAGAACCCTCAATCTCCCAGGCCTCTGGTAGAGGACCCAAGCTTAGAGAGAGATAAGTGCCCGTGGGGGGCGAAAGGTGTGTGTTTTCTATATAAATAAAGTACTATTATTATGACTGATGTATATCTTTAATTCATGTATGCATGTCAATAAAGTGCTATGAAGACTAGGGATGTACCGAATCCAGGATTTGGTTTCGGATTTGGTCGAATCTTGGCTTTGTTGACGGGGTTCGGTTTCTGGCCGAATCTTAGAATTTTTCCCCAACGAACCATGCTAATAGATCCATGTGTGGCTGCTGGATTTGTCCCAGAAACCGGATTCGTCCGGAAGTTCAGTTTGTGGATCTCAAATAGTTTAAAAAAACACGTAAACAGTTTGTGTTGTTACATACAGATTATTTTATTGATTTGTGCTCATATGTCAATCAATCAATCAATTAGTTTATTTCAAAACCTGCACAAACATTTTTTACAACGGTTCATCTTATGTATAAAGGTTTATTACGAGAAATGGCAGGAAAAAAGCTCATAGAAAAAAATATATCTAGTAGCCGGCAGCAAGCGCCCAGATGCGTTCAAAGGCACACCGAAATGTGGGAAACACATAGACAGTTTACCATTTTATTCCGGATGATTATTTCACAAATACAACACAGGGATACACATCACAGGAGTATGATGATTAAACGCGTAAAGGACAGTGAATCTATTCAAGAATTAAACTGTGTTAGCCTCATTTCCTTGTGCCTTTGAACGCATCTGGGC